CGCCTGGGGCATGGCCTCACTTCGCCCTCCGGCCGGTTTGCCCCAGCCGCTGCCCATTCCTCCTCGACCCTGGTCCCACATCTCCCTGGACTTTGTCACAGGTCTTCCTCCATCCCGTGGGCGGTCCGTCATTCTCACCATTGTGGACCGTTTCTCTAAATCAGCCCACTTCATTCCGCTGTCCAAGTTGCCATCGGCTTTGGAGACTGCCAACCTCCTCGTCAAGCATGTTTTCCGTCTCCATGGCATTCCTCTGGACATTGTATCCGACCGGGGGCCCCAGTTCGTATTCAGGGTGTGGAAGCGGTTCTGCCGGTCCCTGGGGGCCACGGCGAGTTTGACGTCGGGATACCACCCGCAGTCTAATGGGCAGGCGGAGGGCGCTAACCACGATCTGGGTGCGGCCCTTCGTTGTGTGTGTCTCCACCGTCCCTCGTCCTGGGCCGACCACTTACCTTGGGTGGAGTACGCACACAACACCCTCGTCTCTTCTGCCACTGGGCGGTCTCCTTTTATGACGGCCTACGGGTATCAACCGCCACTGTTCCCGTCACAGGAGGGTGAGGTGGAGGTTCCTTCGGTGCAGTGCCACCTCAAGCGGGCCCATCGCGTGTGGAAGGAGACCAGGGCCGCATTATCCCGCACGGCATCCAGAAACCGGCAGATCGCGGACCGTCGTCGACGCCCTGCACCGACCTATAGAAGGTTCACCCCGTGTTCCACGTCTCCCTGATCAAGCCGGTGGCGACCAGTTCCTTGGCTCCTTCTCCCGCCCCGCCTCCTCCTCCGCGGATCATCGATGGTGACCCTGTGTACACTGTGCGGACTCTCGGCGCAGGGGTAAGGGGTTCCACTATCTGGTCGACTGCTGGACTCCATCGTCAGCCCCGTCGCAGTCAAGCTCTGGTTGCCAGCCACCATGAAGGTTCACCCCGTGTTCCACGTCTCCCTGATCAAGCCGGTGGCGACCAGTTCCTTGGCTCCTTCTCCCGCCCCGCCTCCTCCTCCGCGGATCATCGATGGTGACCCTGTGTACACTGTGCGGACTCTCGGCGCAGGGGTAAGGGGTTCCACTATCTGGTCGACTGGGAGAGCTATGGGCCGGAGGAGCGGCAATTGGTCCCCCGCTCCTGGATCTTGGATCAGTCCCTTCTACGGGATTTCCACGCTTCTCACCCGTCTAAACCGGGTAGGCCGCCGGGAGGCGTCCGTTGAGGGGGGGGTACTGTCATGTTCCGTATTTGGCAGCAGGTGGCAGGCGTTCATTCTGCTGCCTGCACACCTGCTGCCTATTTGTTAATGATTACACCTGCTTTATCTAAGCACTCCGGCTTCCGATTCATTGCCGGAGTATTGCATGCCGTGCCACTGTGATTGCCCATGCTCGTAAACCTTATTCACATTCAATTGTTGTTCGCTACACATCCCATTGGGATTATTTAAAAACGCATATTTGATCTAGAAAATTGTCTTATCTTTTTCCTTGCCATTTTTTGCAAGCGCTTTGTTTTTTCACGTTACATTATTTCCTGGTTCTCGTTTTTGACCAGCGTTTTCTGTTTTCCATTAGACGGTGTTTTCGTTTGTAAGAAATATTATTTTTGAGACGAAGGCCTTGTCAGTGTCTGCTACTTCGGGGATCCACTTATTCTCGTTCGCTCTGTTGCATACGAAGCAGTTCTTTTTTCCTGCCTTGTACGCAACGTGACAAGAGAGGCCCTCACCGCTCCTCTTTAAATTAGAAGGATTATGTTTTCAGGGTTCAGAGACATGTAACTGTTGGTGAAAGTAGTTTTCCTTTTGAACACCAATCATATTAGAATGGTATTTATATTATTTTATATACAAATGTAAATACAGTGATACCTCAGTTTACGAACATAATTGGTTCCCAGAAAGTGTGTGTAAGGCGAAAAGTTCTTATTCCGAACATTTATTTCCCATAAGAAACCATTAAAATGAGAATAATCCGTTCCTAGGTCCACATAAAAAATAATTTTCTACTAAATAAACCTTAAAACTGCACAAAAATATACCTTATTTTATGTACAATAAATGTGCAATTGTATTGTAATTAAAGAAATACTGTACACTGTACTGTATAATAAAGTCATTTTATTTTCCTTTGTGATGTTATTTGATGGGTTGATGGAATGGAGTGGGAGGAGGGAGGCAGGGAGGGAGTGACTGTTTGGAAGGAGAGTCACCTTCCATAGGGACTGTAGGTCACTCAACCTCCGGTGTGGCTTCTCTTCTTTGCTTCTTAGGAGACTCTTGATCCTTTTTGCTGATGAAAAACCTCTTAATTGACACCTGTTTCTTTCTGACTTGTAAGGTCTTACGAAAATGAGGCATCACATTGCCGTTCATCAAGTTGATGATTCTCATCACCACAGTCTTTTCTGGATGGTACTGTTCGATAAAAGCCTGCACATCACTCCACTTAGCCAACATGGTCTTCATGCTCTCACTTGATGCTGCAGCCATCTCCTCCTCCTCGTCCTCAGATGACAACTCCTGAATGGCTTCCTTCTGCTTGTCCTCTTGAAGGCGAATCAAATCATCTGTGTTGAGGACCTCATCATGGCCAGCAACAAGCTCCTCGACATCATCTGCATCCACTTGGAGTCCCATGCTCTGTCCCATGGAAACAATGTCGTTCACAACAACAGAGTCTTGAGGATCAAATCCTTCAAAGTCCCTCTCAAGGATGCATGCGGGCCACAACTTCTTCCATGCTGCTTTCAAGGTTCGAAAGGTAACATCATGCCAAGCCTTTTCTATCAGTTGAACACAATGATACACATTGAAATGGTCCTTCCAATAATCCCGAAGGGATAGGTTGGTGTCATTGGTCACGTGAAAGCACCGAGTAAATAAAGCCTTAGTGTAAAGCTTCTTAAAGCTTGCGATCACTTGCTGGTCCATGGGCTGCAGGAGGGGAGTTGTGTTGGGAGGGAGGAATTTGACCTTGATGAATTCAAGATCACCTTGAAGTTCCTCCTCCAAACTTGGTGGATGCGCTGGGGCATTGTCAATGAGAAGAAGACACTTGACAGGGAGTCCTTTCTCCTCGAGATATTTCCTCACTGAAGGAGCGAAAACATTATGCATCCAGTCCATAAACAGGAGACGAGTAACCCAAGCTTTGGTGTTGGACTTCCACATTACAGGAAGCTTGGATTTAACCACCTGTTTTTTCTTGAAGGCCCTTGGAAATTGTGGCGTGCCTGGTTTGTGTGTACAGTGATACCTCAGTTTACGAACATAATTGGTTCCGAGAAAGTGTGTGTAAGGCGAAAAGTTCTTATTCCGAACATTTATTTCCCATAAGAAACCATTAAAATGAGAATAATCCGTTCCTAGGTCCACATAAAAAATAATTTTCTACTAAATAAGCCTTAAAACTGCACAAAAATATACCTTATTTTATGTATAATGAATGTGCAATTGTATTGTAATTAAAGAAACACTGTACACTGTACTGTATAATAAAGTCATTTTATTTTCCTTTGTGATGGTATTTAATGGGTTAATGGATGACGAACTTCCAGGGTGCCTCTTGATGATATCCGAGTGAAGTTGCCGTGCTTTCTCGGTGATAATACCCTCACTCACACCGTCCCCTGCTAGCTGCTTTTCATTTATCCAAATTAACAGAAGTTTTTCAACCTCTTCTATTGCCTGAGACCGTTGCTTAGACAACACAGAAACACCCCTAGCCACACACGCACCGTTAATAGCTCCCTTGTTCTTCAGGATGGAAGCAATGGTAGACTTAGCGTAGTGGTACTGTGATGCTAAGTCACGCAAACGCACACCTCGTTCGTGTTTTTCGATTATGTCCTTCTTCTGCTCGATCGTAATTTTCGTCTTCTTCGGCTTAACACAAACTTGTGGTGGGGTCTTTTTCGGTCCCATAATCGCAAACGTGCACTCTATATGGTCCAAAATGTCACTCAAACAAATCACGTCCTCACTCGAAGAAAGGAGGTGACGAAATGAGACGCCGTTGAGAGTGCGTCAGCTTCTAGTGGCCGCTGCCGTTGAGCGTGTGTCAGCTTCTAGTGGCCGCCACCGTGGCACTGCTCGATCGCGTGGTGTGTTCGTCCGCCGAAAACTAGTTCGTCCACCGAGACTATATGCTCGCGAATTTAATGTTTGTGAGGCGAAAAGTTCGGAAGCGGAAGCATTCGTAAACTGAGGTATCACTGTATAAATTACAGCCATCTATGATTTGCTTGGTGTTTGGGCCAAACTATATTATGGCTCCTCAACTGGTGTGAGAAGTAACATTTATTGAAGCCTGAATTTGACCATTGTCATTTCTTTTATCACTTCACTTTGAAACACTTTTGATGACGAATAATGTATAGCCATCATAATTAAAAGCATTTTTATCTGCTGTTTTTCTTCCTGTATAAGGACAACATATTTGATCTACAATATAAAATGTTTGTTTGTCAAAGCTTTATTGGTGTAAATAAACATTCTTTCTTGGTTGCTGACTTTATCCACAAATACTTAACCAACGTGGATGCTGAAGAGTATTCCTGCATAATTGTACATCATCCCAATTGAATTTTCACCTGCCTGTAAATGATGACTACGTAATTGTCACTCCTCACTTTCGTCAGCAGGTGGTGCCTTGTGTTTTAAAAAAAACTGTGAGAATGATTTGGAACACATTTTATTCACATTGACAAATTCTTACAAACATCAATCTCAAAATTTTAAATGGAATATAAAACGTCAAACCTTTGGGTAATACTGAAAACTCCCATCTTGCCTGAAACCATC